GTTGCTAGAAAAGAATGCAAGTATGATGCCTTAAGTCCACATTTTAAGAACATGGAATCACATTGACACAAATTAATATGTTTGACCCTTCTTGCATATTTGAGCTCCTCTGAGTCTCCCCTCTTTTAAAAAATTCCTAGAATCGCCACTGGCATCCATTCGCTCACTCACCTTGTGTGGAGGACATTATCCATTTTAAAGCAGCACTGGGGTTACCCACAGGGCATGGGGGCAGGGAAAGAGTGAAGCAGAATGATTTTGTCCTCTCCTTCAACTTCTGCCCTCATCAGCTTCCATCCCATAATGCTCCAGCTCCTTCCTAGACACTATAAACTCTCCCAGCTCAGACAGAAGCTGCAGTGGATGTGACAACTCAATGCCTGTGTGGTCAGACGGGGTCAGTAGGAGCAGGGGGATGATGTGCTTGAGAGGCCATATGAGGGAGAGAAAGGAGCTTTATTACAATACAAGGGCAAATTAGAGTGCTGCTCAGTTTGACTGTTGTGGTGTGTGTGTGGGAGATTATATTCACCATAAGTGTTACATGTCCTCAGTTTATCTTACTTTAACTGTAATTATGTTTGCTCAGTATACATTAGTTCAGGGGGTTTTGAACTTTTTAATGTTTGGACCACCAAATATGATGATCTCCTAGCCTTTTCCAAGTCAGCAATACAGTATATATGTATGGGTATGAAGACCTGTTTATATGGTGGTAGTGGTGGGGGGGGGGTGTAAAATTTTGCAAGAGAATTACATTCATTTCAATAGGAATCCATGCGATTGATAGTTTCGCACGAGGGTGAAAAAATTCACTGTGCAGATTTTGCTCATGTTCAATTTGGTCACACGAATTTGCCTCACTGACCAACAGAAAGCTGCTTGGTATGAAAGTGACTTCTGTGTGAGCAGTGCTTAATAGATCACTACACTATTGACAACGGACCGAATTTTGCCCGCAAAATTTTGGGAATGTGACTGAACCTTAATATGCTGACTTGGTGCTGAAGAAACATTATTAAAAATTATAATGTTGACATTTTTATGGAAACCATACCAACCAACGTTTTTTTAGGATTCTTTTATGAATAGAACAGCATTTATTTGAAATAGAAATCTTTAAAAACATTGTAGATGTATTTGCTGTCACATTTGATCAATTGAATGCATCCCTTTTGAATAAATGATAAAAGTATTCCATTTCTTTCAAAAGCAAAATCTTACTGACCCAAACTTTTGAACGGTAGTATGTGTGTATATATATATTTTTTTTTTTAATTATTATATATTTTTTCTTTTATCATTTCCAGACAACCTCTGGGGGCAGCAAAATGAGTGGTTTTGGGTCTGCAGAAAAGTTTTCAGAAAAGTAGTTTAAAACTGTTTTAAAACTCACATTAATTCACCCCCTTATTTTGATTCTGAGGGAATAATTTACTAAAAAATTTGCATATTTTATCACACAGGTCGGTTCTGAGTGTTAGGTTGTGTAGGACGCAACATCAATGCACTATTCCACTACTGCTAAACCAGTGTGCATCTGATTAAACTGAATTGCACATGCTTTGTGATTGAGATGCCTGTTTCTGTGGCACAACTGTTCAGTAAATTCACCCTTGAGCATGTATCTTTCATTGCCCTTGTTTATCTGGGCATTTTATTCGCATTATCTTCTGGCCTTTACAAAATTTGCTCAGTCAGTTTTGTTTTATTTTGTTTTTCCAGATGTTTGACATCTGGGCATTAAAGCCAGGTGTTTTGCACTTTAGCCAGCAGGGACAGCCTGTAGACAGGTAATTCTGTCCTGCCTCGGTAGCACTGCGCTCTAGAGAGATTAGTCACCCACAATGCCCTTCACATCTTCAGTATTGCACCCAACACTGAGGCTCTACAACATAAATCACTGTCATTTCTCTTTCTAGTCATGAATGATGTTGCTGGCCGTCTGTTATGGTCATGAGATCGGGAGGTCATTGTGCACTTAGGGGACCGATGGGCACCTTACCCCTTACCACAGATTGAGCAGTTTGGAATAAAGGATCCATTATTCAACTCTTGACTCTGTCCTTCAATATCTCTGCGTTTCATTGTCCAAGAGAGTCTTCGAGCTTCGTTTTACAGCCGAGTTTAACAAACAACACTTGTGCTTTCTGTCTCTAATTCCTGCTGAGGACAGAGGCTTTTGGGCTAAAGTTCTTTAGAGGACACTACAACACCTGCTGAAGTGTAACTCGCCAGTTTTTTTCGTGTGAAAAGAGATGTTCTTCATCTTCACAAGGAGTGAAATGTGCAGGATCAGCAGACTGGAAAAGAGAAGCAGCATTAAGATGAGGCAAAAGTGCGAACATTACTTGTCGGTAATGTCCCAATGACTGAAGATGAGAATGGCTATTGAATTTTCTGAGTATGTGAACTTCAATAAGACAAAGCCATTTCAGAACAATATAACAATGGGGGGAATGCACTGAGAATGAATAGCTTTGTTTATCTTCATGCACTGCTTTCATTGTTTTAGACCCCAATTCGCAAAAAGATTTATGCAGATGCAGTTGACTACTTGAAATGGTGATCGGTTCATGTATAATTTGTGAGTATGATTTGTGTAACTGGACTTTTTCTCTTTTGTCTCAGTCATTATGCTTATAGTTTTGCAAAGAGATTCAGTCTATCCATGCAACAGTAAAATGCATCATTTCCTATCAATTGGCTACTTCAGAAAGTCATGTCCTTGTGATAGTCAAGCATATTTTTATCCACATTCTGCTGTTTTCCATACCCTGTGAATCATTCTGTTCCCAGTATCGTTCATACTAGATAGGAGTATCTCGAACCAAATGAAAAATAGAGTGAAATAACATGGTTCCATCCGAGCAAAAACCTTCTTCATTCCTGGATTTACTTAAACAAAATGGATTGTGATGGTACAGTGAATCTGTAACAGCAAAGTGTGTTTGAACTGAAGTGACATTTAAATTGAATTATTTCTTTTTTGGAGGAATTTCAGTTATTCATCATTGCTGTTAAAGTTCCCGCAGCAGTATTGGATACTGGTGTGAATTTGAACTAGTTTAACAAGTAAGACTCAATCAGCATCTCAAGAAAGACCTAGTTTCACTTGTCTACTGTCAAACCAGGCTGAGCTAGCATGAAAAAATATTTTTCTTACTCTGAAAACACAACCTTTTATGTTCTCTTTTCTTTCTTCTAGTTCTGGTTTTTCTTCTTATTTTTTGCTTTTGTATAGTTTAACATTTGAATGAAATCCTCTTGTGTATTCATTCAGTAGATTTGCCCTTATTTGTATGGTGAGGAGACATTGATATCAGACTAACTTAGCACACACTCGCTAGTTTTTTATCTCCGCCCTTTAGATTCCAGAACACACTCTGCATTCACCTCATGCTCTGTTTGATATTTGTCAGACATCAGCATCTCAATGAGAACCTGTCAGTTGAGGTCAGAGGAAGGAAGGAAGATATCCAAACTCTAAGCGTGTGTGGAAGTTTTATCAATCTGTGGCTTTGTGTCAGAGAACACGAAGCACTTTTTATTATTGTTGTTTTGGCTCTTTCTAGAGACTGATACGGGACGATGGTAAAGCTGTAGAATGGCAACACATTTCATGCTAGCGATGTGATGTTTCCAAAAAGAACGAGGTAGCGTTTCTGAGGTGCCAACTGTTAAACGCTCAAGTGCTCCCCCCAGAGGTTGCTAGTAGCAGGTGGAAGTGTTCTTGGGGGGGAAATGAATCACGGTTAAAATAAAAACAGCAGGAAACTGTCAGTAGTTATACATGTCAGGATGTCAGTAGCTGGTGAGCCAATGTGTGTGTGCCTTTTTGAGAAGGAGCGGTGATGAATGCAAAACATGGAGCCACACTCCATTTCCCCTCCTGCGTTACAAAAGACACCGCTGAGCTCCTTTCCCAAGGGTGAGCCACTGTAGCATGTCCAGATGTTTCTTTTTGCTCACAAGATATTCCCCATCGCTCTCGCCATCATTCATTTCATTTTATTGTCACATGCAATACCTTTAAATTTCGCTGTTTTAAATTGCTTCGTGATCCAGAGATTTTTCTGGATGTGTAGGTCATGTGGAGGTGCATGTTGTATCTATATTGGTTATATCCATGTGCAAAAATTGACTTGGAGTTGGGTTGTCTGAACTGCTAGACAACTAATTGGTCTTAAAGAAAGCCCTGTGTAATTACAGGGCTTTGTTGTTTCGGGTTCACCTGAACCCAATCAGATACGGTTTGTAGGGGGCGTTTACAAACTGTGCAGCTGTCAGCACACTAATTAAAAAGTCTAAAATATAAAAAATACATGTGTAGGCAGGTTTATCAACTTAGGACACTTTTATGTGAAGTTTTCTTTAATGTCTTAAAAACCTTTTACTTTTCATTATTTATTTTTTATATAATTCATTATTCTTTTTCATTCATTTGGTTTTACTTCTATTTTTTTTTTTAAATTATGTATAGAATTTGTTTTTCATATGATTTTTTTACTTAAGTTTATAGATTTTTTATTTTGTTTTATATCAATTTTTAATCTTTTTTTTCATTTATTTCAGTCTTGAAGAGTTTAAAAAAAAAATTCTAAAATGTTTTAATGAAAATCCATCATAAAAATTTTATTATTTATATAACATATAAATGTTAAAAAATAAATGACTGGTATATAATTAAAATATTAATTGTCAACATACTCCTTCAAATTTTTTTTACATATTTATTGTGCAAAAATAATTGTAATAACATTTGTACAATTTATATCAATATAATATGAGACATGATGTGTGAAGAAAAAGAAAAAAGAAAAATATCTCTTGTGAGCAGAATGTTTTTGTAATGCTTCATTTCCAGTAATGCTGTAATTTTTTAATTATCTCAAAATATAATTGCAACATAATAATGCATTTGGCTCATTTAATGTTAGTTATTTTTTAGCTTTTCAAATTCCCACTACAGTGTCACTGATTAAAATGTCAGAATTACAATGTATGTGTTTGCACTGTTGGACATTGTTATTGAACAAATTAAATAAACCAGTGAAAGTGTAAAAAGTGTCTTTTAAGTGAATTTATTTGGATTACAACTCCACAGGGCCAAAAGTTGGCCTTGCATTGGCCTTGACCTCACTAATCGACTATAACCATCATGACTCATCCCTAATGTTCACCTCTAAACATTCTTACACAGGAACAAGGGAAGGTCAGTGTGATCTTCAATGTGGGCACAGATGACATCACCATAGATGAGCCTGCGGTCACCGTGAACGACGGCAAGTACCACGTGGTTCGCTTTACGCGTAGTGGTGGCAACGCCACCCTCCAAGTGGACAACCAGCCCGTCATCGAGCGCTTCCCAACAGGTAGGACCCAGCAGAGGACAGGGAAAGCCATTTGGGGTGGCGGGGGGAGGGGGGGTAGAAATACTAGGGGCAACTTCCCTTGGGAATGGACACATGGGGTCAGAGAGAGACACTGTATATTTCTACTCGCACATCAGAGGGACGTTGTTTGAAGCCCTCGGCCTGGATTTGAATCCATGTTGACGGCATGCCTTATTGAAGGGTACAAATTGATTTATAATTTCAAATGTGAATTATTTGGGTTTGAAGTGTGCTGTTTTTACCCTCAAACTCTTCCCAGAGAGTTTATGAGTCACCACATGCAGCGCCCCGATAACCACCACATGCACAATCTAATAACAATTGCAAATTGACACATTTCCCCCCAAGCTGCCTTGCCTAATACATTCAGCCCGAGATGGATTTGGATCCTTTACAGTTCTCAGCTTCAGCCAGCTTTGCTCTAGGCAGGCTGAGGAAGGTGTCTCTGCGCCTGTGAAGATCCTCCATCCCTGAACTGCACGCAAACTTTGAACCACAAAGCACGCTTTCTTTTTTTAGCATTAGCCAAAACGCCTCTTGCAGGTTGCTCTCTGAACCCTGGTGCTCTCGAGTTGTGGTGTGTAGTCGGCGCCGTAAACTGATATTGCACAGCCCTAAACTTTTGTAACAAGTCTTGATTGATGATCTCAACCCTGCAGTAGTCGTCCCATGAACCGTCCCCGTCCTATACAAACATCTCGCTCTGTGGTCCCTTGGCCTTATGTGCTTTCCAATTAAACTTGAGCAAACTCTCTCTCTCCCCACTGTGTGCTTAGGGAGCTGCCTTCCTCTCATAGCTGCTGTTCCATCGAAAGACATTTTCTCCGTCTCTAATAGCAATCCTATCTTTCCTGTCCTCATTTTTCATTCGGTTTCTCAAATGTGCTGCTTCACGGCAGGTTAGTGCAACGTCAAGGAGTCCTTAGCAAAAATACAGCTCTAGCCAAATAAAGCGGCGCCTCAGCTCACCTGCTATGCTCCTTCCACCCCTGTGTGTGGGGTCTCGTCTCGAAATTTCCAGAGGTTGAATGGCGCTGCGTCCCTGCTGCTCAGGCTTGAGATTTTGTCTGATTTCTGAAAGGGAAAATTGGTTTTCTACTGCTGCGACATAGGCTTCCTATCCTCCGGGTCTCCCCCTAAGCCCCCTCAGGTGGCGAGAGTCAGATGGGGCAGGCTTGCCAAAGCGCAGGGATAAAGCCCGGCTTCAAAGTCGTGACATGCTTCCTTTAAAACTGAGTTATGCGCATTTAAATGGAATGGCACGGCTTTTATGTGGCACCTGTCATCCCGGGGATTTAAAAAAATTATGATATAGGTCTTGCGTGTCATCCAATACACACAGAGCTCACGTGTGTAAACGAACTCGGCTGTGTATCGCTTAGATTAATGGCTTCAGTTAATTCAGTTAATTAAAACTGAGGATTAGATGACCGGATATGTTCCCCGATGGCAGATTTGCTGCTCCCTGCGGACACGGTTGCAACTGACCGCTCGCCTCGGTATTTTGCTCAACACACCATTACATTGCCCCATAAATAAGAATCTAGTGGAATCTATGAATAGCAATGCATCAGAGCAGACTTTATTGGATGGATCGGTTTGTTTTCACTGTTTTTGTCGCATAATCACGGACGAGACCTATTTCAAGTTTTCTTTGAAGGTTCAGCACAGAATTTGCCACACATGAGCTCTTTTAACAGGCTTATGGGAGTGGGAGGTTTGGCCCTCATTTAGGTTGCAGGGTGGGTAGGACGAACGGAAGGCTTGTATCTCACACGGCTGTCACAGTAGGAACATGACACAGTATGTGGTATGTCAAAAAAAAAATGCTGTTGACACTTGGCATAGCAAGATTTTCCTTCAAGAAAGAATACTTTTAACTGCAAAAAATAATTTCTGTAATTTTACAGTATGTGGGTCAGTGGCATGACAGTCATCTTTTTTTGTATGTTATCTTTTAGTTTGTTTTTTAAAAAGTTATTTGTACATATGATGACTTGAATACACCTCTTTTATGATTAGCGTGATTTTTAATTTATGAATTAAAATACATTTTTTATATTTATATTTTTGGGGGTTAAAGTAAAATATTTGGGGGTGATGCAACTACTAAAAGAAAAAATCATAATATATTATTATTTATATTTATTGTTATTCTTAGAATATATATATATAATTTTTAATATGATAACTCAGTTATGTAAAGAAAAGGTCCTTGTTTTTTATGTGATTACGTATGTCATTGCTTTTTACATGACGATTACACCACATTACATGTTTAGAGATATTAAATTTAGACTTGGTGTAATATGGTATAGAATCTTGAAATGTTTTTTTTTTAAGTATTTTAAAACCATACTGTATGAAAACAACATAAACACAAAGATTTTTATCATGTCGTTGACCCATTTACTAGATTCGATGAAGGACTTGCTGAAATTTTGCAGGAATGTCTCAGCAAGTGTGAAGTTGTATATGTGATGTCTGAGAGGAAATAAACATCACTGTGTGGCAATTAAAACCATGGTATAAAGGGGTATTAGGATGACTTGTGGATTTTGACAAGACGGTGGTTGAGAGCAGAGAAGAGAAAGCAGTGATGAGGAGATTGTTCTTTTGAGGGAGTCCTATTGGGCCCGAGAGCTCATTTTAGCACTAGTGAAGGGATCTGTCAGAAAACAGGAACGGTAGACTAGATACACGCTGTCTCTTATCTGGCAGCCATGACACCGAGTCAATTACATCTTTTGTGTCTTTTTATAATTACACGTGTCCTAATTTATGCAGGTACCTCGAGATTTTGATACTAGATGCAGCACTGATTGCATTGGCCTCTCTCTGATTTCTTGTAGAGACCAGAAAATGTCTTCCGGGGCAGCTTTGACACTACCATCGTCTGCACATTATAATATGTGACATTATCACTGATATCATTGTTGTCCTATTGATTGTATGAAATTTTCCTCAAGTATTATTCGCTAAGATGACATCACAATCAACCAGACCAAAATTAGAAGATAAACAATCACTAAATATGTCCTCAAAGCTTTCTAAACAGAATTAAACATGCTCTAATTAGTCTCAAGCTTCTAAACTGTCTAATAACTAAGAATCCAGCTTAAAACCACATAACTACCAGCATAAAGCTCGTTTAGACTTCCTAACTTGCTAAACTTGATAGTATTGTTGCCATGTTTTTAACCATGTGACGCTTGAACTTCCAGATATTAACCTCTTATCTGTCTCTCTAAATTCTTTGAAGGGAACATTGATAATGAACGGCTTGCTATAGCCAGGCAAAGAATTCCATACAGACTTGGTCGGGTAGTTGACGAGTGGCTACTCGACAAAGGTAATAAAAATGGATTAATTAAACAATGACTCATTAAGGCTCTGTAAGAGGCGCAGTTCTCTTAAAACCACAAAGCTACAAGCCATTTTGAATGAAACCTCCTAAAACCAAAGACTTTGCATTGGCATATTGTGGGCCAAAACAAACTGTGAATTGTGGCTGCCCACTCACAATGAAAATCCAATCGGTCCTCTCCATGTGGCTTGTGCTTTCCAGATCATGTCCTTCACAAAGTTAGAACTGCACCGCTTCAGAGATTAAGGTTTAATCTTAAACATAACCCTGACTAACCCTCTAACAACGCTCCATAACTGCAATAACTGTCTGTAAATAGTTTCTTTTTTTGCTGTCGTATGTTTTCCTTCTGTGATCCCCTCTGACTTCACTAATTTTGAAGCAAGGGTATTTAAATACACTTTAACTATAAAATATAGATTTATATTTTCCAATCCCATGCAGTTAAAGGGACTATTGCTTTTTGTCTCCTTCTAACACTAAAATCAGAATAAAGTTTCAAAATCCCCTTTAACCCTTTGAGTGTAATGAATAAAAAAAAATTATAGATTATATTATTTGGACCGTTTGCATGATTGTCTAAAACTTAACTGTGTCATAATCTTTGGACCCGTGAGACATCTGTAAATGGTATTCGACTTTACCCAAGAAACTTTCTATGTTATTAAAGTGCATAAATAATCTCAGACACCTGCATCAGCACATTATCAAAGAATATTGGGCATTAATGCTCTACTGTATGTGTAAGTTATCAGACTTTTTGGTTGGTTGCACCTTTTTCATCTATATGCAAACTTCCTTTTCTGTTCATTCGCTGAGCTAACATCACATCTAAATGTTAAGTGTAAAACAAATACGCTTGCACTCTTTTTTTACTGAAAACTGACCTTTCTAAGTCTGCATATCTTCCTTGATTGAACTCGATAACATGCAGAGTATAACGTGATCCAAAGTTCAGTTCTACATTTGTCTAAAAGTCATTTTCAGACGTTTAGCTCTCCCTTGTGCATCCAACTAACATCCTTTATCAATATAATTTTAAATGTATATATTTGTGATGAGCATTTCCTCATGTTCTGATTTGACTTCCACTGTTTGATATAAATAGGGCGTTAAACTAAACCTAATTTCGTCTTAAACCCCCCTAAATCGAACTAACTCAGAGGGTTAAACAGTCTAAATATTAATGAAAGACATTTTCGTAACCAAATGAGAGGAAAATTGCTGTCAGCCTTTGCACATTCAGATGCGATTAACAATGTCCCTTTAACATGTGCAATTATTTATCAGTTCTAATCTATAAGTAATGATAATGACACAAAGCCCTCATACATCAGGTCTGTGTCCTGTATGAATGGTACATTTTACTGAGTGACTGGTCTTTGTGTGAGGAATTTGTCTGTGCCTCATGCTCTCTATCTCAAAGGCTCTTTGGTCTCCTCATTCTCCTAACCAAATGTTCTAACCACTGTTGCTGGGTCTCACATTTAGACGTAAAGAAAAGATCTGTCCAACCTTGAATTAATCACAGAAAAACCTTTTTGCTTTTATGCCAGACATGCGAGGAAATTAAATCTCATTGCACATTTTTAAATAGCAGGTGTAATGCACCTAAATATGAATATTCTGTTGTTATTTATACAAATGTGACCCTGTACCACAAAACCTGTCATAAGTCGCTGGGGTATATTTGTAGCAATAACCAACAATACATTGTATGGGTCAAAATTATCGTTTTTTCTTTTATGCCAAAAATCATTAGGATATTAAGTAAAGATCATATTCCATAAGGATATTTTGTAAATTTCCTACCGTATACAGTGGTGTGAAAAAGTGTTGGCCCCTTCCTGATTTCTTATTTTTTTGCATGTTTGTCACACTTTAATGTTTCAGATCATCAAACAAATTTAAATATTACACAAAGATAATGCAAGTAAAATTATGCCGCGATCTAAAGAAATTCAAGAACAGATGAGAATCAAAACAGTTGACATGTATCAGTCTGGAAAGGATTATAAAGCCATTTCTAAGGCTTTGGGACTCCAGCGAACCATGGTCAAAGCCATCATCCACAAATTGAGAAAACTTGGAACAATGGTGAACCAAAATTACTCTTTGATGATCTGAATCTTTTAAGTGTGACAAATATGCAAAAAAACAGGAGTAATGGTTCCTGGTTGCTTTATTCCAGTGACTGAATAAAAAAAGAAAATAAATAATTTTATATCATATATCATTTTTCTTTCAACACTGCTAAATCAATAAAATGTTTTTTTTTTAAAAAGTCGTCATGGTCCAGTGTCATTTGGTCCCCATTCACTTTCAATGTATAGGCAAAATATATATATATAATAATATATAAACAGTTCTCAAAATATAAATATTTAAATATCTTCCTAAAATATCTTATTTTATATATTTATATATATATGTATATACATAATACTTTTTTGCCCCACTGTATATATATATACACACACACACACAACATGAGCAAATGATGATGGAACTGTCATTTTAAGTTTCATGTGCTACTCTCACTTAAGTGATAAAGAGAGATTATTTATACGTTTATACCATTTTCTCAGTGGCACTTTACATACTGTATTATGTCAGCATATGTAACCATCCTTAATGTCACACATTAATCAGAATAATCTTTCCACTGTACGATAAAAGAACATGTGCAATTGGAAAGTGGCCATCTGGCTTCTACCCACTCTATTACGACATGCCTTTCCAAGATTATGGTCTTTTTATCTCCACTCTCATGTCAAACTTGGTTATTTTCAACTGTTAAAATTGAGACCCTGCTTGTGTTAAATGGCAACCCTTCATTAAGCATTAAGTGGCTCTCACAGAGGGGATAACAACTGCCCACTTCATAATCAACTGTGTCAGAGTACCTGTTCATCAGGATTAAATGGATGGCGGCAGTCCAGCTCTCAGGGGCCAAAGGAAATGGCACTTTGAGTTAACCATCCTTTTCCTCTTTAAGTAGTAATTCTGAAGGTTTTGTTGGCATTAAATTATATCTAAACTTTAGCCAGATTTCGTAACGTTCACTGTTATAATTCAAAACCACTTGAATTAAACATGTAGCACTGTGACTACCTGTCGCAGCTTTAAAGATTTCATAATAGTGGTTTAGATTTGTTTTTTTTATGATCATCAACTCCGTGATCAATTCAACCAGTGGTATATTCTAAATGAAACGACTCTGTGACAACTCAATGGAGATTCAGGGGACGAAATCCTCAATGCAGAGGCATAGTGTGTGTGTGCGTGTGTGTTTGCGCCCCTATGTATGTGTATTCGTGGGGCTGGAGGAGAAACTCCTCTTGCCTCAGTGACACATTAGCATTTGAGCTGGCAGATGACACTTATTCATGTAGATTAGCATCAATGAGAACTCTGTCTCTGAATAAAACATATCCAAAACTCTTTACATACTCATAGATATTGTTTTCCAATTTGGTCCTCCTTATTCAGTTCATTATCCACAGCTCAAGCCCTACTAGTTTAATGAGGCTCAAATTACAATATACAGCCATTATTCTATAATGATAGGGGCTCTTCCATTCCTCCTCGATCTGACCCTCATAGAGGAGCCACCTAAGGTTTCAGGATTGATCTTTGGCATCATGTTTAATACAACATTTTATCCCCTGCACTAACCGGGTCAGCAACGGCAGCTATTAGAATTGGAGATTACCATCAGCAGATTCAAATGTTAAAAGTGTTATCAGCTGATTTAGACACATCTTGCCGGTGACGCCAAAAACAGCCTGTACTGATGGTCACTTTTTGCTTCTCTGTCTCTCCTTGCTGTCGTACTGCTCTCTCTCTCTTTCTCTTTCTCTATATCTTGCTCCTCTCTCCATCTCCTCTCTGATCCATCACAGGTCGACAGTTGACTATCTTCAACAGCCAGGCGGCCATAAAGGTGGGAGGTCAGGATAAGGGGCGGCCGTTCCAGGGCCAGATCTCAGGCCTGTACTACAACGGGCTGCAAGTTCTAAAACTGGCCGCCGAGGGGGATCCGAACGTGCAGGTGATAGGAAACTTGCGTTTGGTTGGGGACGCACCCTCCGTCCTGTCCACAGAGACCACCTCGGCCACCCCACCAGCTGCGGCGGACATGTCCACCACCATAATGGAGACCACCACCACCATGGCCACTACCACCACCCGTAGACAGCGCTCTCCTAGCCTGAAAGACAGTATTGCACAGGTAAGGATGGGACGGTGGAAGGTGTATTCATCCAGAGAGACAGGTCTCTTGTTGGCCCGTGTCTCCTGAATGAGGGATTTTGTTGCATTTATGAAGAGTTTTGTTTTACAAGATGTCCAGTTGGTATCAGCATTAAAAAAGCTGACAGGACAGACCACCCCGGGGTAAAAAATCTGTCATATATTGCTTTAAAAAGAGCCGTCACTCTGCATCTGGAAGACCCTGAAGGACAAGAATCATAATGCTCAGATTCGCATGTATCGGGATTTATCTCCCCCACATATGCTTTTCCTTTCATTCCTCCCACACATAGTATTTTGCTCATCACATTTCCTTTGAACGGTCCCGCAGTTTTCTCAAGTCATTATTTTCTAAGCCTCGAGAAACATATTCAGAGCTGTGGCAATTTTCTTGTGAAAGCAAACACTTTAAACAAAATGATTAAATTTCTATCCATTTGTCAGATTTCCAGTTTGACATCATTTTTTTTACTCTGATTAAAGGACTTAGAGAAAATGTTTTTGTTTAGTTTACGGTTATATGTGTCAGGAAAAATATATTTTTAATTATAGATTGTTGAAAAATGCTACATACATTTATCTTTTAGGTTTGTAATAATAGTTTGAAATTTATAAATTAAATATAAAGCACCTCAATGAAAACAATGAATTCAAAACTTTATTATCAGTTCATAATATTTTTTTTTTAACTTTTTTGTTAACTAGAAAACACTATAGCATGTTCAGGACTATCACAAATCATTCTCACAATTTCAGTAGTGTAACATTGGCATATTGCTAAACAACAAAATATTCAGTATGGCATTGTCTTGCAATTGATTTCGATATTGTAATATTAGCATATTGGCTAAAACAAAAACTAAATATTCTGAAAAGGATCGAATCACAATTGATTCTGAAAACTCTGATTATTTTACTTTACGATTTACTGTATATTTATCAGTGTGTATATACAGTATATTGTTTTATATATTTTTAATTTTAGATTGTTAAAAATGTACCATAAATACAATGGCAGTAAATCATTCTTAATTTATTGATTCTCACTAATTCTTCTTTTTTCTCTTTTAAATTTTCCTGTCTAAAAATGCGTCACACCATTTAGCTTTTTATATTCACAATACAAAAATGGCCATGTAAATGTCATGTAAGTAATTTTGTGATCCATGCAAAGGATTCCCACAAAGGGATTCCCAAATGTAAAGTAAGTTAGATAAAAAAGTAATCTAAAAAGTAGTCAGAATACATTACCTAAATGAGTAATCTAGATTACTTTATTAACTACAGTTTTCATCATGTAATCAGTAATGGACTACAATTTGTAAGTAAACAACCCAGCTCTGTGTGTGTGTGTGTGTGTGTGTGTGTGTATATATATATATATATACACAAACCCGATTCCAAAAAATATATATATATATATATATATATGTGTATATGTCATGAACACATAGACTGACCAGTGTTGTTCCTAGCCCAGCAATTTTTCATGTCTTTTGACAGCCTAAAAACAAGTATTAACCTCAAGCAGCATCTGTAAAACGCTGGAGCACAAGGCTATTAATATGGAGGATATTGAGTGTCATATTTGACATGCGTGTTGTCTCGGCCCCCCATTCATCACATATTGGTGGCAAGTTAGGAGTGTTTGCCTCCCCCACTGTCAGCCTTTATTCATGTGGTGTTCAACTCTATTGATCAGGAGATGCACGTTGATAAGAATAAAGGGCAAGCTCAATAACAATCAGTGTCAATCATAGTGAAACTGCCAAAATCCATAGCCACTAGCGGCACGTATTAGCGTAAATGAGGACAGGCTTGGATTCTCTCACGTGTGTGCTGTGAATCACTCCTAATCCACGCTGTCCTGGTTGTAAATAGTCATACAAAGCAATAGCAGGGAAATGGGGATTTGAGTGAGACAGCTTAGTGCGAGGAAGTCCCAGTGCACCACTCCTCTCCTCTTCTCCCCAAGATGAGTAAGACATTTATATGGAAGAGCACCAAACACTGTGTCTAGACTATATTATTAGGTAATATAGTCTATGAACTATATTACCATTTCACATTTACTGTATATTTATCAGTGTGTATATACAGTATATTGTTTTATATATTTTTAATTTTAGATTGTTAAAAATGCACCATAAATGTCTCTTAAATTTGCAATAAATTTATATAAATATAAAGCAACTCAATAAAAACAATGAATTCAAAAACACTTCATATACTGAATATATATATATATATATATATATATATATATATA